TGGCGGTGCATACCAACGACGTGATGTCGCCGAATGATGGTATGGAGCATTCCCTCAGTCGACCAACTCGTCGGAGCCTGTCCCCATATCGATCGCCGCCCCTGACCCTCCTTTCTCTGATCACTGGAAATGCGGTGGTCATCTCTAATCCTACCCATCACTAGTGTTGTGTTACAAGAGAGATCTTCGCTCTTCATGCAGCCGTTAATGAATTCTTCGAGGCCCTTCACTATTCTCTCACGAATGGTACCGGTCTTCCCTCATCTATTCCACATTCCCCACGTTTGCAGCCTCCATCGGCCCACTCAATTCAGACGCAACACTACGAAGAATACTGTGCTAACTATACAATATACTATTACTGAACTGTTACTACTGTCACTTATATCGAGTACCTGAATACAAACGTTGCCATCGCCGTAAGAGCGGCGGGTATACTACCCTTTATGAGCCTTCTTTCCCCACTTGACGTCCCCATTGGGATCCAAGGCTTCGGTAAATTCACGAATTTTGTCGCCACTACCGTCGGTCTCATCCACGAGCCCATCGATTGGCTTATGCATGACAATACGGTGAATCCGGTCAGATAGGAGGCCATTCGAGCTCTTGTTAGGAAGTCTAAGGACAACACAATCTTTTAGACATATCTCGTTGAGGATGCTTACTTTCTCAGCCCCTTCTTCGAGTCGAGCACATACACTGTCTTGTTCATAGCATGGGCTGCGAGTACTTCAACACGCTGATAATGAAAAGATGCAACGTATCATCCCTAGCCATCACTGCTATCACCTGGGGTCCAGTCAGGTCTACATCCTCTGAAAAATCTGTTACTAGAACCACTGCATGGCAGAGGGCAATATACGTGGGTATCTAGTGAGATAGCATGGACGGTTATGAAGCAAAATCGTACTCACTCCGTTAGCGCCGGCCTCTCTCGGACCTTTCATCGACTGGAACTTCGTCAGGTGTCCAGGCACCATGAAGTACGTCCGTCGGCGGATATCGGAAGATACTGGAAATTCAAGTTGGATAAACGGAGCGAAGCAACAGTAAACTCAAGACCCTACCATCCTTAGACTTCTCACACCACCGACCTAGGGAAGCCAGCAGAGGTAAAGCAGCAGAAAGAGGGCGAGTATCTGAATACAGGATGATGATGAAGAGAGCAGCGCCGTCAGATAGGCAGTTACACAGTGAACACAGTTACACAGTAACTTACACTAGGCATACTACCTTTATCATTGTCAGCTGAGACCCCCCTACCGTGCCGAGACACTCTGTCATTGTCCCTAGTCCGCGATCTCTTCTCACCATCTATTACCCGATCAGACCGCTTCCTCTTATGAGACGAACGATCCTCGAGGAGCTACAAAGCATGACTCTTGGGGAAAATGATAGTCTCTCTACTACCAGTGGGGCATCCTCGTCGAATACATTACCACTGATCGACTCGGCATCAGAAATACTGTTGGTTTCCGGCTGGACATCTGCAAAAAGCCCTCATCAAAAACCGCGAGTGTCAGCATGACCTTCTTACCAGGCATATACAAAGGATCGGGGTTGAGCTGCGTTCGAGGGTACGAGACGTAGAAGACGTTAGAGTCCACGAAATCCTTTGAAAGGGACGAGGCAGAGCACTGAGCAGGACCACCATT